TGCCAACTGTCTGCACATGCCAGCAAGAGCCAGGGCTGATGCAGCTGAGGCTGTGCCAAAGCATCCTGCAAGCTCCTGAGGGCATCTCATGCATGACCAGATCTATACATTAGGGAGATGTCATCATTCAGCGTGAAAGATGACAAAGTCCATTACCTACACCTGAGTCATTGTTACTTTCCCATCACTAGGTTATTACGAAATAAGACTCTGTAATCCACTCTGCGTACAATAGATGGAGTTCCAAAGAACACAATGAATTTTATAACCCCAAGCAGGTTTCACAGTAAGAGGAAGTTTTTTTAGTAATACTGGTCACTCTTTATGAAGGGCCTGTATTACCGGCTGAGGATCCAAAGATGAGTAAGACTGAGTTCAAAGTCTAGTGGGGAATTGGGCATAGTAATGTCATAGACGAGAAACAGCAAAAGGATACAACATAACATTCACTGCCGTATGAATTAGTTCAACTTCACACAGAAAATGTGAGGAAAGACTTTTGATAGTGTGGTGAAAATAATTAGACTGAATTTGAATCCTGGGACTGGTTTGAATGTAAATCCTGGGACTGGTATTTACTCATAAATAAATAAATATATATGTAATTATATTAAATTATATTTATATAATTAATATATTTATATATTTTTAATTATATATTATATATTTAAAATATAAAAATATAAATATATATTACATATTTATATATGTTTATCAATATAATAAATGTAAAATTTTTTAAACAATATAAATCTGTTATATTTTAATATAAAGTATATGTTCTATAAGATTACATATAATATAAAATATATAAAATATAAATATAAGATATATTAGTATTTATATTATAGTTTTATATATTAAATATATTTATGTTAAATATTTGTATTCTAAATATATTTATTTCATTATATTAATTAAATAGATATTTAATTCAATTAATCATTTAATATATATATTTTTTTTTTTGAGACAGAGTTTCGCTCTGTCAGCCAGACCGGAGTGCAGTGGCGTGGTACCAGCTCACCACAACCTCCACCTCCCAGGCTCAAGTGATTGTCCTGCCTTAGTCTCGCGAATAGCTGGGATTACAGGCACATGCCACTACTGCCCGGCTAATTTTTGTACTTTTAGTAGAGACAGGGTTTCATCATGTTGGCCAGCCTGGTCTTGAACTCCTGACCTCAAATAATCCACTGACCTCAGCCTCCCAAAGTGCTGGGATTGTAGGTGTGAGCCACTGCACCTGGCCAACTTCCATATATTGACTCATGAAAAATATTATCTGGTCCCTGGTCAGATATATATGTATCGATATACATACGGATATATATATGGATATGGATATATGTGTGTGTGTGTGTGTGTGTGTGTGTGTATATATGTATATATATATATATATATATATATATATATATATATATATATATAGTAGAGGGAACTAAAATTTAGATTCTTATTGGACTGACATTCTATTTTAAAAAGAAAACATACATCCATATATAGACCTGGAATATAAGATTGCCATATTGTTTTAGAGCTGAATTGGCAAGCTAGTATCCCAGATACTTCTTTAGTTAGCTTGCTTTCTGCATATGATACCAGAATTGGGAAGACACCTACAAACAAGATGAAAGACCCGCAGTGTTCTTTAGTCCACTCAGCATTTTAAATCGCGGGCCCCGTGCTCAGCACAGTGGATGCCGGAGCCTTGCCTGGACTGCTCTCTGGGAGCCAGGAAGCCGACTCTCTAGCTGTAGTGTCAGTCACTTGCTGAGCAGCGGGCCGTCCCTCTCACCTACTTTGCAAGGAGATTTCCCATCTGTGTTCCTCAGTCAGGGGAGAGCTCATCCTTCAACTTGTGGTTCGAATTTACACGGAACCTTTGCGTATACTGATTATTGCCCTTAACAATACTTTTTGCGAGAGGGCCTTTTCTGAATCTATGCTACCTTTTTTGAGAATGTAAATTAACACATCTAAACAGAACCATAACCTGATTTATAACAATGATGTTTCCTCAGTGTGTGTTGTAAAATATTGACTGCAAAGGGTAAACAAACTGTGGTACCTTCAAACAATGTAAAATAGTCATTAAAAAGTCATTGACTACTGATAGAGGCAGCACCAAGGATGTATCACAAAAGCCTTTGCTACGTGAAAGAAGCCAGACTCAAAAGGCTGTATACGCTCTACTCCGTGATGCTATTTACACGACGTTCTGAGGAAGGCCAAGCATGTGGACAGAAATCAGAGCAGTGGCTGCCAGAAGCTGGAGGTGGAGAGGGAGTGACCGCAAAGGGAATTTGGGGATAGGGAAGATGTTCTGTATTTTCACTGTGGTGGTTTTGTAGCTATGTACATGTATGAAAATGTAACCAACTCTACATGTAAAAAGGTTAATTTTTTGGTATGTAACTTATACCTCAATAAAACTAAATAAACCTCAATAAAACTAAAAACACAACTTTAATAAAATGGATTGAAATGGAAGTGCCTGGCCCTGCTCTGTCGCCTGCCACCGCTGCCCGCTCCCGAGCGGTCCGCTGCACGGTGAAGACAGATTCCAGACGCGATGCCGGGAATGCTCGCCTCCAATCCCAGATGCCATGTCCAGCAAAGGCTCTGTGGTTCTGGCCTACAGTGGCGGCCTGGACACCTCCTGCATCCTCGTGTGGCTGAAGGATCAAGGCTATGACATCACTGCTCACCTGGCCAACAATGGCCAGAAGGAAGACTTCGAGGAAGCCAGGAAAAAGGCACTGAAGCTTGGGGCCAAAGAGGTGTTCAAGGGGGTTTGTGGAGTTGTTCATCTGGCCGGCCATCCAGTCCAGCGTGCTGTATGAGGACCGCTACCTCCTGGGCACCTCTCTCACCAGGCCCTCTGTCGCCTGCAAACAAGTGTAAATTACCCAGCAGGAGGGGGCCAAGTATGTGTCCCACAGTGCCACGGGAAAGGAGAACAATCAGGTCTGGTTTGAGCTCCCCTGCTACTCGCTGGCCCCCAAGTTAAAGGTCATTCTTCCTGAGGATGCCCGAGTTCTACAACTGGCTCAAAGCTCGCAATGGCCTGATGGAATACGCAAAGCAACACGGGATTCCCATCCCGGTCACTCCCAAGAACCCATGGAGCATGGACGGGAACCTCATGCACATCAGCTACGAGACTGGAGTGCTGGAGAACCCCAAGAACCGAAGCGCCTCCAGGTCTCTAAACGAAGACCCAGGACCTGGCCAGAGCCCCCAATACCTCTGATATTCTTGAGATCCAGTTCAAAAAAGGGGTCCTGTGAAGGGGACCAACGTCAAGGATGGCACCACCCACCAGGCCTCCTTGGAGCTCTTCAGGTACCTGAACAAAGTCACAGGCAAGCACGACGTGGGCCGTATTGACATCATGGAGAACTGCTTCATTGGAATGAAGTCCCAAGGTATTGACGAGACCCCAGCAGGCACCATCCTTTACCACGCTCATTAAGACATCGAGGCCTTCATCATGGATCGCGAAATGTGCAAAATCAAACAAGGCCTGGTCCTGAAATCTGCTGAGCTGGTGTGCACCAGTTTCTGGCACAGCCCCGAGTGTGAATTTGTCCACCACTGCATCGCCAAGTCCCGAATAGAAGGGAAAGTGCAGGTGTCCGTCTTCAAGGGCTGGGTGTCCATCCTAGGCTGGGAGTCCCCACTATCTCTCTACGATGAGGAGCTGATGAGTGTGAAGGTGCAGGGCGATTATGAGCCAATCGATGCCGCCAGGTTCATCAACATCACTACCCTCAGGCTGAAGGAATATCACCGTCTCCAGAGCAAGGTCACTGCCAAATAGACCCCTGTACAATGAGGAGCTGGGGCCTCCTCACTTTGCAGATCCCCCAAGTACAGGCGCTAATTGCTGTGATAATCCGTAATTTTGACGTGTTCTTCCCAGCGGGCAGGATAGTGGGGCTTCCAGGTTCCAGCTTTGTTCCCTGGTCCCCCTGAGGCCTGCAAATGCATCAAAGGCAAAAGTGGGAGGGCAGTTTCGGAGAGGAGCTATAAAATAACAAAAGATTTTTAAAAATGGAAGTTCTTTTTCAGAACTAAGGACAATTCACCATCTAACCTCTGTTCACTCACTAATTTGTATTTTGATTCTGGATAAATTATGCTGACTCTCAGGAATTTGTTTGCTGTAAATAGGAAAATAAAGAATTGCTTCATAGAAATTGAATCTCTAAATCTGAGATATCTAAATCTTGCCTGTAATCCCAGCACTTTGGGAGGCTGAGGTGGGCAGATCACCTGAGGTCAGGAGTTTGAGACCAGCCTGGCCAACATGGTGAAAGCCCATCTCTACTAAAAATATAAAAATTAGCCAGGTATGGTGGTGCATGCTTGTAATCCCAGCTTCTTGGGAGGCTGAGGCATGAAAATCACTTGAACCTGGGAGGGGGAGGTCGCAGTTTTTTGTTTTTTGTTTTTGTTTTTTTTTTTTTTTTTTGAGATGGCCTTCCAAGGCTAAAGTGCAGTGGCGAGATCTTGGCTCACTACAACCTTGGCCTCCCGGGTTCAAGCAATTCTCCTGCCTCAGCCTCCTGAGTAGTGGGACCTACTATTACAGGCACCTGCCACCATACCTGGCTAATTTTTTTGTATTTTTGGTAGAAACGGGGTTTCACTATGGTGGCCAGGCTGGCCTTGAACTCCTGACCTCAGGTGATCCGCCTGCCTTGGCCTCCCAAAGTGTTGGAATTAACTGGCGTGAGCCACTGCACCCGGCCGATACCTGCTTTTCAGAATGAGTTTTTAGTGTGCCTAACGGATGCCAAAAAAATGGATGCAAACCTTAATGGATCCACAGAGTGTTTGGGGCAAACTCAAGAAAGAGCAGCATGAGAAACTGGATCTTTGCTCATTGAGAGAATCAAAACCAAAATCAAACACAGAAATTAGGAGAGAGAAAAATATAGATTAGGAGGTCCCCACAGTATCAAATCTTACCAAAATTTCTTTCACTTCAGAATGAAGAAGTCTTTGAAAGCCATCATGAGAGAGGGAAACCTCAGCTGGAGCAGCCGGCCAGGCTCGGAGACCTTTCCCCCTGCAGGTAAGACTGCAGACTTATGAGTGCGGGGCATGGGGGGGCACGGGTGGCCAGGATCCCCTTTCATCTCAGCATCTGTCTTTCCCAGGTAAGAATCATAATATTGATCATACATACGAACTTTCATTTATGTACCCGAGAACGAAACTTGTGAATCTCACAAAAGCAACGAGCGAAAGAGTGTAAAGTGACACCTTAGAAACCAAACTTCTAAGAATACACTGTTTTGGTTTTGTTTTTGTTTTTGTTTTTGTTTTTTTGAGACAGAGTTTCGCTCTTGTTACCCAGGCTGGAGTGCAATGGCGCGATCTCGGCTCACCGCAACCTCCACCTCCCGGGTTCAGGCAATTCTCCTGCCTCAGCCTCCTGAGTAGCTGGGACTACAGGCGTGCGCCACCATGCCCAGCTGATTTTTTGTATTTTTAGTAGAGACGGGGATTTCACCATGTTGACCAGGACGGTCTCGATCTCTTGACCTCATGATCCACCCGCCTCGGCCTCCCAAAGTGCTGGGATTACAGGCTTGAGCCACCACGCCTGGCCCACTAGAATACACTGTTTTTAAAACTGGACTATCAAGAGACTATTGCATGTCAGCTTATGTTGCTGTTGACTGGATTATTGGTTTAAACACATTTAAAGTCTCTTGGTTCCCCAAAGACACAATTGATACAAATGCTGTTTTTGCTCTGTAGAAAGGTGTTTGCATCCATACAAACGCTGTGCAGTTCGGAAAGCCTAAATTAGGGAGGTAAAAGCCAAAAATACAAGGGGAAATTTATTTTTTAAAAATATTTATACTCAGAATCCCCATGATGACACCCGTGCTAGTGCTAGTCACATTATTTATAGCCACGCTGTTGACTTGTAAGCTGCTTTTATCCGTGGGGTCTATCACAATGCTTCTCTCGGCAGGCCTCTGAAAGATGTCTGTAAATGAATGAACAGACATCCTTACAAACTTGCTCCTTGATTAAAGATAATATTAATTACACTACTTTGTATTTTTTCACTTAAGTTGTATTCAAAGAAACATCTGTGGGCCTCTTACTGACTGAAGTGTGTCCCTGAGTTATAATGAATGGCCCAATTCAGTGTATCAGAATGTGAATGTTGAATGGTGTAATTGCTGAAAAATACTATTTGGCCATGGTATGTCCTGTAGTTTTCCTTAAGTGACAGTTTATCTTTTGAGACTTCTACTAAAACTTATACCTACTTTTATAAGAGTCTTAGTTAAAAGCATTAAGTTAGTTAAAGAATTATTGTATTAACTTATAGCAGGCCAGGTTCGGTGGCTCATGCCTGTAATCCCAACGCTTTCCAACTCTTTGGGAGGCTGAGGTAGGAGGATTACTCGAGTCCAGGAGTTCAAGACCAGCCTGGGCAACAGAGTGACACCCCCATCTCCACAAAAAATTTAAACCATTAGCTGGGTGTGGTGGTGTACACCTGTAGTCTCAGCTAACAGGAGACTGAGAAGATTGCTTGAGCCCAGGAGGCTGAGGCTGCAGTAAGTTAAGCTGTGGTCACATAGCTGCACTGCAGTCTGGGTGACAGAGCGAGACCCTGTCTCAAAGAAAAAAACAAAAAACTTGTGGTAGACTGCTAGATCATACTTCTTATGAGAAACACAAAGGAAAAAAAGAGCACTTAACTAATAAAACAAAAATATGTTCTTGCAAAAGGACTTTGAGAAAAGGCAAACTTAGCCACTGAGTTAATCAAGAGGTCGAATCTGTAAGACTGCAGCTTTTCTTCCACCACCAGCTTTTGAATAAACACCTTAAGATCACTAGTCTTTGCTGCACTGTTTAACCTGTATGTATTTCCTTACTCTTTGATTTTGTAGAGTTGAGTTTTGCTGTGTAACTAATACAAACTTGCTTGGCATATAGAAGGCATTCAGATTTTGGGGGATTAATTATTCAGAACCCTAAGTGGACACTACACAAGGCATGGTTGCCTTCAAAACTTATAGCTAAGTTAAAAAAAAAAAAAGCATGGAATGATTAGTAGGTAGTACAATAATGTATGTGTCTAAGCATCAATCTGGGGAGGAGGAAAGGAAGAGATGCTTACGGAAAGAGAGAAAGTAGGATTGGATTTCCAAAATTTTAACAGGTACAGAAAAGAAGGTGTTCTTGGCAAGGAAAACCAACTTAAGCAAGGTATGGTCATGAATGACAATTATAATAGATAACAGTGGCAGTGGTAAAAACCAAGCTATAGGGATGAAAGTGGAAAAGATTATTACAAAGGGCCTTGAAAACCAGGTAGAAGAGTTTAGATTTGATGCTGGAGGCACCAAGGAGTCTTTGAAGTCTGGAGTAAAGGAATACTGTAATGAAAGCTATGATTAAGGATTTTGTCACTGCAGAATGCAGAAGTGATTGAAAGGAAAACTGACTTAAAGAGACATCGAATATTCCTCTCATCGTTATAGCAGAATGAATAACCTTGTATATCAAGAGTTCTCTGGTTTTATTATTGCAGCTATAGTATCCAATTAAAGTCCCCAAATGTAGGTCGTTAATTCTTCCAAGTCATCACATTTTAGCACCAACTACCAACAACTACAACTACACTCCTACCATGCCTTGCAAGTAAATGTTCTGCCATGACCAAATAATTCAGATGCTTACAAGTTTTAAATATGGATTGAGTTATACAATATACTATGTGAAGAATTGAGCAGGAATCAGGTAAAAAACAGATGAGAGCACACTGCATGCAAATATATCGAAGCACAAATACTCCAAAGGAAGTATAAGGGCATTCCTGATATTAGGAGATTATGGCTAAAATTGACTGTATTTCGGACAGCTAACAATATCAAAGAAAAGGAAAATGTAACCTTTTCAAATGGTATCTTCAGGTGCTATAGCTACAGGTGATTTCATCCCTTTCTGAATAGAGTATAGCCATGTATTGCTTAATGAGGATATGTTCTGAGAAATGCATCTTTTTTTTTTTTTTTTTTTTTTTTTTTTTTTTTTTTTTTTTTTTTTTAAGGCAGAGTCTTGCTCTTTCGCCTAGGCTGGAGCACAGTGGTGCAATCTCGGCTCACTGCAAGCTCCGTCTCCCAGGTGCAGTGATTCTCATGCCTCAGCCTCCCACGTTGCTGGGATTACCGGTGTTTGCCATCACACCCGGCTAATTTTTATATTTTTCGTAGAGTTGGGGTTTCAGCATGTTGACCAGGCTGGTCTCAAACTCCTGACCTCAGGTGGTCTGCCCACCTTGGACCCCAAAGTGCTGGGATTACAGGCATGAGCCATTGCACCTGGCCAAGAAATGCATCTTTAGGTAAGCACATTGACGTGCAAACATCGCAGGGTATACATGCGAGCACCTAGATGAACAGCCTACTAGACGCCTAGCTAGATCGTAGAGCCTATTGCTCCTGGGCTGCAAACCCGTACAGCATGTTACTGTACTGAATGCTGCAGGCAACTGTAAGACATGGAAAGTATTTGTGTATCTAAACACATCTAAATATACAAAAGGTACAGCAAAAATATGGTATAAAAGATTAAAAATGGTACACCTATATAGGGGGGCTCCGTTACTATTTCATGGGACTGTCATCATGTATGTATGTGGTCCACTGTTAACCAAAATGTCATTTTGTGGCATAGGACCATCTGAGGAAAGAACATCTCCCCATCTAGACATTTTCTAGCATGAGTCATTTAAGAACAGTAGTATCTTAGATGGCTCTATAATGCAGAGAACATGAAAATCCTACAGGAATCAGGCTAAGATCATGTAGTACATTAAAACAGAATGAATGATTATATAAACAATGTTCATGAAAAAGTTTAAATACATATCTCCTGATAATTTTTCAGTTGTTTATTGGAAATCACAGATTTTTTAAAAACCCACTAATTAGTTTGCCATATGAGAGCAAAATTCAAATAATACAAATATTTAACATTGTGGTACAAAATTAACAATATGGAAAAAAGATGCAAACCAACCAAAAGGTAAAAAAGATTTAACAATAACACTGTGTATAACCATCTTCTATTCAAGTGACCATCCAAGCTGATCGTTGATTTTCCCTTTGTTGAGATAGTCCTGCACTGGAGCACCAAAAAGTTTTTTCCTTTTTTAAAAGGTTGGAACCCTTTTATTTACAAATACTCTTTCCAGTACTTTAAGTGTGATGAAGGAATCATCTAGCAACTTGCTTCTTAGACAAAGAAAGGAAGTGCCTTCATATTTCCTTGAAATTTAAACCTGCTCCATTCTAGTCTAAGCAAAATTAAAAAGGATGCGGTTCAGAAGAGCTCTTTCAGCAAATAAATAATTGTTTCACAAAAGCATTCCTGTAAACAAGATCATTTTGATGGCCAGAGACACGGATGTTTTCAACCAATGGCAACTGTGAACACTTCCAAGTATAGATACACAGGCTGTATATGGCCAAAAGGCAAAACATTATTAGAGAATCAACGAATACAAATTAATTATAAGCCTGTTGCTTGGTCAAATATGCTTTTGTTCTCTACGGTTTTTTTTTTTTTAAATTGGTCAGAAAACTTCAACTGTAAAGATCTAAAACCCTGTATCTACTCTGAAAGTAACTACAACCTAGAATGTTTGACACTGTAGTTTGGACATTAGTTAAAAATGCTAAATTAAGCAATGTAAACAAGCCTCAAATTTCAAAATAGAAAAAAAATTAAAGTTTCTGTAAACATTAAAATGCTACCTGCTAAAAATTGTAAATATCATCATCCAGTTGTGTATACTGAGACTTTTTTAGTTTTGTTTTGCATGTTTCAGACATCACCTTATTATATGAGACATCTTATTTTCCCTAACAGGTCCCTCCTGCAGGCAAAGGTCTTAGAGTCAGTTCAGCCACTTTTGCTGATGTCATTATTTTGGCCTTCATACAATCTCCCAAGCAGTAGACACCAACTTGTTCTTTCTGTAGTGAGGGGAGGTAGTGTGTATTATAGCCACATTTTTATCCTGCTTTATAAAATAAACATAACTTACTTTATTAGATCTCAGACACAACTCTTTGATTACAAGGAACATGCAGCTTTAAAAATGTTTTAAACCTCAAACTGGCAACTTTTCTTTTCAGAGTAAAAAATCACGTTTTTACTGTTTTCAAGTTTGAAATATTTAGAAAATAAAGATCACCTCTGACAGTTATTTGATGAAAATAAATTGTTTTAGATATTGTAACTTTGATGTTTAATGCTCTCAATTTAAAACTCTAAACTCGGAACAAAGTGCTGTGTTTATAAGACCTTCTGGGGAGGGGTGGGTTAATTTTAGTAATCAGTACAATGGTTTAGACACTCAGATTTCATCTTATAAAATTATGGAGAAATTAGGCTTTTAACGTTCTGTCTTTCCATTTGAAGTCTGTCCATTATTATATTCCTCTATGGAAACTACATTCAAATAACAACCTTAGACACAGGCCAATACTGAATACTTAAAAAACAGCTGAAAAATTCATTAAAATGAGGCCCCTGTGAGCAACCAGCTGCCCATTTTATGAGTCATTTTCTAATATTTTTAAAAATCCATTAAAAACATATATAAAGTATTAGCTAGGGCAGTGTTAATAACTTTTCTCAAAATTTGCATTAAACTTTGAAAAAAGATACAAATATATTTTAAAGACTCTAACACCATCTAGGTAAAATAGCTATATGGATGTGATAATAAGGGATTTGTCTGTGTATAATAAAATTGTACACATTTTCCTATATCTCCTTTTAAGAACAAGAGGCTTTCTTTTACCAGATTTATGTACTTTCTCTCCTATGCTAACCTTTCCCTGTCCCTATCACCTCCACCAAGTGCTCTTTAACAAAAATAAACTGGTTTACCTGGTCTAATGATATATTCATTTACTTGAAATGCTGTACTATACATTCGTTTGGTATTTTCCAAACGCAATGACTCTAACACCAAGACTTCTTACGAACATCTCTACACCTCAAGTATATTTGTGACATTAAATGAGAACGTGAGCTTCCCTTTCGTTTCGTTTTCATTAAGAATATAAACCTTTTCTAAATACAAATTCTTTGAAACGAATTTAGGCAATAAAGTAGGTAAGTTATATTAAACAGCTTCTAGAATCAAAGAAACATTCTGATGGCCTAGGCTATCAAAATATTTCTTTGTCTTTCATGTTCATTTTAGTTAGGGTACAGACAAACATTTAAAGGATCTTTTCAACCAGGTTTGACTTCAGTGACAGTGAAAACATACAACATTCAAGTACTGTTATTAGACAAATGCGGCCCTGCAAGGATATGTGTCCATATAGCTAATTTTACAAAGGAGAACTATCTTAATTAACCTGCAGTATATTTGACCCAAAAAACCTTTTGAAATGGTTTTGACTTTTGGGTCTGTAGCATTCTTCCAAAGGTCCTGGAGATCTTGTAAATGTCCGTGAGATGTCATCATTTTATCATAGATGCAGGGATGATAAGGAGTTTTACCCTCTCCGGAAAAAAATACATGGTACTGTGGTACTATTCCCATTTTATTGGCACACAGGCCCATGAACACATCATCTATGTAAAGACTAGAATTAAGTGTCTGTGACGCCTCATAGACTTTAGCAGCTACATCACCAGAGATGACATAGGCAGCTCCAGCTGTATAGTCAGGGTAAGCTGGCCACTGGTACATTTCATAGGACACGTAATATTTGCTGCTTTTATCCCTAATGGGAGGAGCACCACGATGAACACGACCAATCCAAAAGTCCTGAACACCAATCTGTTCTAAACTTTGAAGGTATTCAATCAGATTTGGCATGTGAATAAATATGTCATCATCAGCAGTCATAAGAAATTTGGCATGTGGACAATACGTGTTTGCCCAACTGAACTGCAGAAGTAATTTCAGAGTAAGATTGTAGAAAGAATCAACAAAGTCTTGCTGAATTAGATCATTGTACTTTTGATCTTCCAAAACCAGTTTTCTTTGCGGTTCTTTTCCCTCCAGTGGATTAGGAGTTCCTAAGGCAAACAGAGTTTTGATGTTGGCTTTCAGCTGAGACCGAGCATAATTCTCATTGCCCCACGTCTTTCTAATTGCGGAACGTCGATCATAGTTTTCAGGAGCAGTTTTTACAAACAGTAAAAGGAGGACATCTTGAGCTTGACACTTTTCCTTGTGGTTAATCAAGTATTGGTAGCGAGGCCCAGCTGATATGTGCTTAAGAGACAGGGTATCATTCACAAAGTCATAGCTATTTATGAGGTATCTGTAAGAATATGACTTCATATGGCTCACAATGTGATTATCGATCGGTTCCCAAAAAAACATGAGGCTCAGTATAAAACAAGGAGCAAATAACCGAATAATAAACTGCCATCTTTTGACTCTTCTGCCACTAATCAACATTCTCATATCCACGCCAGTGTTTTTATTTAGGATCAGTTTTAAACAGGCACTTGCTTCTTCGCCACCATAGAGCTTCGTATTGCGTGGAGTAGATGTCCATCTTAATACATGTTGGCCATTAAAAATGGAAAACAGTCTTCTTATTTTACAAAATAGTTTATTTTAATCCCATTTTTCTGAGATTGCAAAGGAATGGAACACCCTGTAGAACGAGGACACTGGCACGTCGAAATTCTTCCACATGGGCATCCTTCAGGAAGCGCGGTGAGCGGCCTCAGGTGGCAATTCCACGTGAGCATTCCATGCCACCTAGCAAAGTCAAGAAGAGAATCACAATCACGTGGGTTATTGAGGGGCTGGAAAGAAACGTATTCCTAATTTCTTAAAACCAAATGTAACCTGCTTGATCTAGACAAAAGGTGATGAGGCAGTTAGTATTTAGCAGAAGCAAACAGCTGTTTATTTTTTTAAAAGAAGGACAGGAAAAGGGAAAAAATTGCTTTATACCATCTTCTCATTCAGAATACAGAGACCTTTTTCTACTCCTACTCTTAAAAAAAAAAAAAAAAAAAAAAAAAAAAAAAAAACCTCCCAAATGGCTATAATCTTGTATACTTAAGTTCAAATTTCACTCCAAATGGACATATTCATGAATATATTGACTTGAATACAGTCAGGATGAAAGTAGATACAAAGGTCAAGGCAAAATCTTAAATAAAAAGAAAATTCACAGCAGTAAAAATCCATCAAGCCTTGCCCCAGACAAGGCAAGAATAAGAGTGAGATTTTTTTTTAATTAAAGTTCATAATCAAGGAGTCACAACTTGCTCCTTGAAAGCAAACTCTCCATAATCAAAATTACTTTCTGAGCTCCAGATTCATACAGCCACCTTCTTTCTCTACTTTTTTATTTGGAAATGCAACAGGCGTCTCAGTGAAACATGTTCTAAACTGGGAAGCAACAGAATGCAGCCAACAAGCACTCTTTGTAAAAGTCAGGCCATTTGAACGTCAGTGCTGCCTCAGCCACTTTTCCTTGTACCGTATGATGCCTCTAAGGCAGACATCTGACAAACTGGGATATGACAGCTGCACTCTAAGTCTTTATGCAGATTAAATGGGAATATACATGATAAATAGAGGGAAGTAGACATAATTACCTAGTGCACTAGGGTACTCAAGTGCCATTTCTTCTGACCCATTCTGTTACCTTCTCCCCTAAAACCTGCTGTTCCTAGTTCCCTGTATTTGTGTCTAACTGCACCTCTTTCATCTATACCTGGAATCTGGAAACTCCCCTTTTCCTCCACTTCCATATCTCAGTGTTTAATCCTGTGAATCACTTCTTCTAAGTCTCCCACCTCTTCATGTTACCATCACTTTCACCCAGACTAGATGATCCCCCAGTCTTCCACTGGACAGTCGGAGAGCGACCTTTGTAAAACTTGGATTTAACCACGAGACTAACTGAGCTCTCTGAGCTCCTTTCAGTGCCTCTCCTTTAGTTAGTGACAAGATGAAGTCTAGCCTGCACACAGGACCCTTTAGGGTCTGCCCCTCCAGCTGTCTGGTCAATCATTTGACAATACCAAATGATGATGAAAGCAGTCACAGCTGCCATTTCACATGCTGGTCTTCACACCAGCAGTCCTGTGGCCTGGCTACTCTGCCTCCCTTCCTAATACGACGTCTACAGGCATCCTTCTCTGGGAAGCCTGAACTGGGATCAACCCATTTCCTGAAAGATGCTTCTCATCTGCATTGTCCCAGCACCTTCTTAGACCACGTACAGAGACTTTTTAGGCACGATGTTGTAGACATCCTACACTCAGCATCCAGGACAGGGTATGACCCCTGGTAGGCATTTACCAAATGTTGGTGCAAAGAACCATGCTGGGGGTGGAGCCACCGTTCAATCAAAGTGATGGTTACTGGGGAAGGACTGAGGGCCAGGACACGCAGCCAAGTGCCACCTCGGATGAGGTCCATGCCATGGCTGCCTACACCAGGTCCTCTCTTTTCTTCTACCCCTGGGACGAAGCATCCTCCTTCCTCAAGGATTCTGTCCCTAGTGCTTGCCACAAGCACAACATTCTTGGCTGGAAAAGTAGGCTGTCTTCCTTAGGGGTGGTACATTAGTTTCCTGGGCTTTGGACAGGACTGACAGGGAGAGAGCCATGTAGGCTTAGCCACAGCAAGCCCAGGGCCAAGGCCCTGCTTTGTGCCAGAGATCTAGTCTCAAGTCCCCCCACCATTGACCCCTGATAGAAAACCAACTGCACACACTGAGCGCCCTGCAGAATGGGCCCAGCCTCAGCTGTGATACCTCCTTCCCAACTTCAGAGCTTTGGGATCCAGCTGTATTTCCCACCCCCATCAGCACTCCACATCAGGGTGGAGGCAAAGGCCAGGCATGTAAAATGTCCAAGGAAGACTAGCGATTAGAGCCAAGCCCAATTCAGACTTCGTCCAGAGATAATCAGTATAGGGTACACTTTACCCCCGACGGCATTGATTTAAAAACCGCATGCACCACTCAGGAAGCCACACTAGCACTGCTTTTGCTTTCATCTTTAAATGCAGAGTGTACTGAAAGTAGTAAGATCAAAAATCATTTTGTGAAACTTCTGGGGTTTACATGTGTGACTGAGATTCAGGGGTGTGATGGGACATGTGTTACTGTGCTTTGCCATCAAAAAGGCTGAAGGGTAGGCACGGTGGCTCACGCCTATAATCCCAGCACTTTGGGGGGCCAAGGCAGGTAAATCACTTGAGGTCAAGAGTTCAAGACAGGGCTGGCAATATGGTGAAACCCCATTTCTATTAAAAATATAAAATTTAGCCGGGTGTGGTGGCACACACCTGTAATTCCAGCTACTTGGCAGACTGAGGCAGGAGAATCACTTGAACCAGGAAGGTAGAGTCTGCAATGAGCTGAGATCATGCCACCGCACTCCAGCCTGGGTGACAGAATGAGATTCTGTCTCAAAAAAAAAAAAAAGCTGAAACACTGTTCTAAGAAACAGATCAATATCAGTAATTTCCCCCTTGGATAGGCTGCTCATTTCTGGACGGGATGCTCTAGAAGGTGAGAAAGATGGCAGAAAATATCAGTTTCTGCTGGTGGCATCTGCCTAAACTTTGCAAAATCACTTTCATTCAGGGGGGAACTCCCTCTCAGTCTTTCCCTAGTGATCATCCAGATAAGGACCATCCTCTGAAGTCCCAAGGCAACATCCAGATAAGGACCATCCTCTGAAGCCCCAAGGCAAGGGCCCTCCGGCCTCCTCCACAATAGACCCTGAAGCAACTGAAGGCTTAAAGCAAGGTAACAGAATTCTTGATGGCAGATTGTAAGCCAGCATACATTTTAATAATTCTAGGTATATTCTCAATTGAAATGCCTCTGCAGTTTCTACTGTAATTGACCCTGGGATGGAAATCACAAGAAGAAAGTAACCTTTGGAATCTCAGGGATTAAAGGCAAAACCAGCTGCCTCGTCCTGAGCAGCTGCGCCCAGCAAGCTCCAAAGCCAGCGTGCTCTGCAGGTCCTACCGTTGTCTGCAAGTTGAGCTTCGTGCTGGACTCTCCGCCTCCAAGTCCAGCTGCTCCTGAGCCCAGCATGCACCTGACTCACTCAAGGTGCTGGTGTCTCTCCAGTGAATCAGGCCTAGTATTCACTGCGTTGGTGCGTGGCTGCCGCTGTTTACATGGCTAATATAAGCTGGCAGCTGGTTCAAAACATGCATTTTATCCCCACCCTCAGTATGTATGTAGTTACCTTATTTTCCTGTATTTTTTCAACTGTTCCAAATTGACATCACAAGTCAAAATGCTTTCTGAAAAATGACAGAAGATCTGTCACAAAGCCAACATCCTATGTGGGATACTTAGTTCAGCACGGCATGTGAAGTTCTAAAGTGAGAATTCTCCCCATCAGCAGTTTGAATTTTTTAGCCATTCTTTACATAAATCATAACCAGATCTCACTGATAATACTAGACTGATAAGGGGAAGATTTATTTAGGAAAGGTAAAACTCCTCATTCGTATCACACAGCTTCACTTGTGTAACAAAAGAACATCCAAATTCCTCCAAATTGAACATAGTCACTGGGAGGCCTTTCCCAGCCTAAATCAAAAGCACTGCCCTCCCCCGGCCTGCCCTTCGCCCACCCCCATCTAAATTCATCAATTACAAGTTAACAGTGTGGCTCCGGCATTGTGGATGGAGACCATGGACAGTCAATTGGCGCTCACTCTTCTGGTTCCCTACAGCGTCTTAAAGCTTCTCTAAAGCACAGCTTCCAGCTTTCCTATCCAGAGTGCAGAACAGGGCCCTGGGAAGAAGCCCACAAGCCTGCCGATCTGGTGGAAGAAAATGCTGGGCCTGGCAGGAAACAATGCCGAATGCGAAGCTCAGCAACCGTCCACAACAGAGTGCTGTGGGTGCAGCTCCTTTGTGTGCCTGCCGCACGGGTCAGTGGCCAATCAACAGGCTGGAAACTCAGGGGTTCCCCCTGTTTGGGGCCAGATTTATTGTGTAACCTCGGGCAACTCCCGCCTCACTCTGATTCACTGCTTTAATCTGCAAATCAGGGATGAATATCCATGTAATGGTACTGAGGAGCAGTAAAAAGCACAGATGACTTCAGAGCCTGCTGCAAATAGGAAATAGAGCATGGGAGAGAAGAGGACAAAGAATTGCTTAGAAGAAAATATGCAAATATCTCAAATGCAACTTGGGTTTGCTTCTGTTCGGACTGAGAAGAAGGAACAGGTATTCTTAGTATTATCTTTTCTAATAGAGGTAGTCAGAAGAATAAGTAATAGAAGTAGGAACATCAGAAAAGAGGTGATAGACCCCAAATACTTTTCAGTCTGGGAGCCGTGCCCCTCAGTTACTCCTAAGAATATTCTTTCAAAAGAGAGCTCTTTAAACTTTTTGGGAAAATAACTAGTTAGCACACCCAGAGGCTACTAGTTTCCCTGTAATAATCCCTGATTTTTTTAAACCTTATCCCTGTGTCAACTCCTTTCTTGGTTGAGTCTACTTTTGTGACCCTGAGATAACACGGAAAACCTGTTATCCATTTTGAAGTTTTAATTAAGATGGGGAGGTCTGCACTTTTCAGTTCAAGTTAAACACTCCAGTCTCCAGTGTTTCAATTAATCCTACAAGTATACGAGTATTTACTCTGCGGGTTCTTCCACCAGACACAGTGGGAGATCATAAAGAAGATTTTACAGTCTCCAGTCTCAAAGCATTTACACTCTATTTGTGACAAGACTCCTAGTTCCCACATGAAAGCATAGTTCCCACAGACAACAATGGGCAAACCGTGTAAGGTGCAGTCTGTCAGCACTAATTTGCGTCATACCAACCCCAGGCACAAGAGGAAAGTCTCTGGGAGTGGAGAGATCAGTGGGGGTTGGATGAGTCAGGATTTTAGGAGGGCCTGGGGATGACTAGGATTTAGGTGGCTGTGGGAGTAGTAACAATCTTTGTTTCAGACAAGAAAGGAAAGAATTGCATAGAGCAGATATTCGAGAAACAGGCATAGATTTGAAAGCAGAGAGGTGGGAACCTGCTTATGAACCTTGAAAATCAGGTAGAGGAGTCTTAAGGGTAGAGAAAGCAGCAAGAAGTCATAGGAATGTTTGGTTTCGTTTGTAATGGTAACTTCCTTGTTCAATATTTATTAAGTTTGAGCAAGAGGGATTCCACTGGCAATGGTGTGCACAGTGAAAGGCAGAATGCCTGGGTATCAGGATGCTGGTTTCTCAGGGCTCATACTGAGGCTGGATGAGGTGAGGAAGGCCTAGTCGAGGGTGGTGAAAGTAGGGAGGGAAGGAAGGTGTAAAAATGACCTTTTTCAAGAAGAACAAAGATCTAGCTTCCCCAAACTATGGCCCGCGGGCCGCACGCGGCCCCCTGAGGCCATTTATCCGGCATTTCAGGAAGGGGCACCTCTTTCATTGGTGGTCAGTGAAAGGAGCACAGTATGTGGCGGCCCTCCAATGATCTGAGGGACAGCGAACTAGCCCCCTGTGTAAAAAGTCTGGGGACGCCTGATCTAGTGGGACCTGATGGATGACCTGAGATGAGAAGTAGCTGAGGAAGAGGAGGAGTGAGCAGTAATTTCAGGCATTACTGACAAGGGAGGGAAAACTGGTCTCCTGAGTTAGGAATGAAGGGGATTGCCATTTGATTTTAGACTTGTGTTGAGCTCAAGGTAATAAAGAGTAATAGAGAGACAAAAAGGTACAAATGTCCAGGGGGTAATTTCAGGTGAGTTAGACAGGACTGGAGAAATCCAGGTGGGTACTCTGAGCATGAAGATGACTCATTTCATGAATGTGGATGAGCTCTCTACCGGGAGAGAGAGCAGTGGGCCTGGAGGAAAAATAAACTCCGGAGAAGGAGAAAAAGGAGGAGTCAATGAAAAAAGGGCTTGTTCATCAGAAAATTAAGGCGGGGTTAACAAGCGGGTAGAGTGAAAAAGCAGGACGAACAAGGCTCTGGTCTTGGAGTGCAAAGTAGGGAAGAGAGACATTGACCATATAGGTAGGTTGGGTGCCACAGGAAGGTCTAAAGATGGACCCTGCCCCACCTGGGGGTGGGTTTCAGGTTGAGGATGGCAATTTCCAGGAAGAGAAGCAACAGTGAACTGTATTTCTGCATTTTATTTAGTAGACATACAACACACTGATGTCTAAGGGAACCTTATGATGTGTGACCATTCTGATCATGTTATCTACCGACACTCAAGACAGCTTATCAGCCAGAAGTTGTTTACGTTGCATCACTGAGAACTGCACTTCTTCTGAGACCTCAAATTCCAGGACACTCACTCTACAATACACTCACTCACGCCACTGCAACTTCTAAATATTCATCAAGAACCTTCTGCCCACCCCTGCCAGGCTTGCCCCATCGAGAACCTTCTGCCACCCCACCCCGCCCAGCAGTCTCCTGACCTTTCTTCCTCACACACCTCCCCTATGTCAGATGCAGAATCCCCAGACATCTTTGTCCTCCCACCCCAGTAACTCTAGACCCCAGTGCCTGCCCATCTGCTTACTCCGGTGACACCTCCAGGGCTGCTGGGGAAATGGAACTTACCAGGCAGGCAGCGTCACCACTAATGGTGCTCTCTAGCTTTGGGCAGTTTTCAGTGCTGCATGACTGTTCTCGTATTTGTCCCGGACTTTCTCCCTTTCCCAGTCTCTTCAGCGGCCATGCTAACTCTCCCGCTCCCAGGGTCCGTCCCCTCACTCTTAAGACTTCACCTCCTGTCTGCTTCCTAGAGAAAGGAGAAGACATCAGACACACCAGCCATTCCTCCTCCCGGGCTCCCAGTACACCAACAGTCACCATTCCCCCTGTACAACATACTGATCAGGACCCAGACTAGGGGGAGACAAGGGAGCCATTTACTTTAGGAGCAAAATTTAAGGGGGTACCAAAAACTCAGCATAATATTTTGATTTAATAAAACAATTTTAAAAATTAAAGCAAAAAATCTACAATAAACAAAATGTCAAAACTGTAAACCAAGACAGGATCCAGCCCTGCACAGCCCTGCCTCACCTGACTTCCCTAATCCCTGTCCCGCTGACTGGGGCCTACTGTGGGCTGAATACTGCTGACGTCTATGGACATGTCTGCATTCTTAGTATATGTACGTATACCCAGTTAAAGTACCATCAAACAATAACCCTTACTGTATACAATGAAGTATCATAAAACAATGATACTTTATGTACAAAATGTGTATGTGTGTGTGTACATATACATAGAGAGACATGAAACCTCCTAAAATGGCTGTATGAACCATGAATGGATTATGTTCCACACAGCCGAAACCCCCAATCTAGAATGGAATCCAACCTCTACCATGAAACCATCCTCTTACTTCAACTGCTGCCAAAATGAGAACCCAGAAATTCTATGTAAGGAGGCAGTATAATTTCATGGAAAGACTAACCAATTAGAAGAAAACCAAGAAATTTAATCATTCCATTCTAGCTCTGGTTTTTTCCTTGCTGGGGAGATAAAATATTGTAGTGAAACCTATGTAGAAAATAAGACTGAATTCATGATTTTCTTCATTTTAACAATCAGTTTAATATCTGGAATATCTCTGTGAGTCATGAAAATATAATGATCCCTTTAAATGTGACGTGCTTATAAAGCAGGACTATATAAGACTCCTCCAGTGAGTCACAGTTTAAAAAAAAATTCCTTTATATCCTCATTCTTTTCTATCTTTTACATTTAAACTTTTATTACTTAATAAAGCCTCATGTGAGAGGGTTTTCAGCTTCTGCCCAGACATATCTAAAGGAAATAAAAAGTTTCCCGTACCATCTTGACGCTGCATTTTGTGCTACATTCCAAGTTTTCTTCCTGGCTTCTTCTCATCATCTGTGTCTATTAAGTATAGCTAGGACCAATCTTCAGATCAGGAAAAATAAGCCTGAGCTTTACTGGAAAAGCTATAATTTCATCTTCATAGATTTTTTTCCTTAATAAATTAGTTACAATAAATAATTGGTGTTAAGAAATGTAACTCGTTACTATTTAGTACTAATTGCCTATTCTGTTTGCTTAAGAAGGAAGGGGACAATGTGAGATTTGAATTTATAACTCACATTTAGATGAAACATTAGATATCTTTGTAACTATTATATTTCCAATATAAGACCTGTAAAAAAGAAAAAGAAATCTACCTAATGGCTGTCTTCAAGTATTTCTGTGGCCTGGGACTTTAGCTATATGAAACTTTATTGCAAGCCATGGGCAAAAGTTAGAAGCCATTTGGAGTTCTTATCCTTCTGCAGAGAATACATTTATAGAGTTAGTTCTTGATTCAGTGTTAGTCCAAAGACTTTACATTCCACTTTAGCAATCATGGCTTTGGGACAGAGGTGAAAAGTGAGTAATAAAACCTACAATGTAAATCCAGGTTCAAGATCTCCACCTACATAAACTAAGTTTTATCTTTCTTTACAATATAAGGTAAACATGGGTGTACATTTTTGTTTTCTGGTTATGGGGGAAATAAAGACAGGGAAATATCAAATTAACAAATGGGTAAAGACAGACCCAAAGTCTTTACCAAGGGAACTGGTGGCATGGGATTATATTCTTTTATTTTAGAGAAGTTATATTAAACCAGTAATAATTCCCAGTAACCAGTGTGATTATGCAAAATTTGAAACAATAAAAAAGCTGTCATATAAAGGAGGTCTCAGAGAGGTCAAACACTTGCTTTTCTAAACTTGACCCTCTATGTTCATTCTTGCAACAGTTGTTTGGGTTGACAGGGGTGCTTGCTCTTTTAAATACAATTATTGTCTGTTTTTTTCTTGCCTACTTGAAACGAACTTCTTTTACCCAATCTAGCAACAGTTGCTACCATGGGTATGTTAGCTGTACACCAGGCCCTGTTGCAAATGCTTTACAAATATGGTAGCTCTTTAAGCCTTACAGCCACCTTTTGGGAGAAAGGATCTGATCATTTTGCAGAAGATACTGAGGCTCCAAGATACCGAGTTAACCATGTAATGTCTACAAGTTCCAGACCCCACAGCAGCTTAAAGCAGCTGGCCGGCCCCAGCCCCACCCCTGTGCTCTTCACCTGCTCCTTCTCCCTGGCGTGGGCACAGGATTTTCTGCACTTCTCATCAGGAGGGGAGGGCAGGGGAGCAGGTGGTCAGGGTCCAGAGAAGCAACCCAAGATGGAGGAGAATTTGCTTCACGGCCAGAAGTTTGGAGTCTTTTATGTTTTGCTGCATTTTGTTAGCATTGGTTCTCATTTTCTTTACTAACATCCTCTTTTTTAAACCTTCCATTTCAGTCTTCCCTCCTCCTTCTTGGTCTCAGTAGTACTAGACAATGGGCAGAAGTGACTTCATCAGTCTGTGTCCTTTGGGTATAATCTTTCAACCACAAAAAAGATTCAGGGACTCTAAGGACGAAGATGCAAAGTTGCAGAAGGGGGAAAAAGAGGCGAGGAGGAAGGAAGGAGAGGAGGCAAAAAGTACAGGACTCAAGGAGGATGTTTTAAGCAAGTATTGGGTAAAATGCGAGATGAGGAGTCAGACACCCGCGCCTGGAAAAACTGTCATTCTCTAATGAAAAAGCTGTATCAAAATTGTTTTCACGTGTAAAGGCAAGGAAAATCTGAAGGCATATTCAAAGTCAGCTCATAAAATGACACATAAGAAGTAAACCTGATCAACAGCTGTAAACCAGTTATCCATCATAAGGTAGATGAATCAAAAATACAAGTTCACCTATCAATAAGAGTAAGAATTATTGCCTAAAATGCATGCCTATCCCCTCAATGTGATACAAAACATGCTGCAAATAGCCACCACGCCCAACCCCACCCCTGCCACCCCACTAGGACTCCCCAGACACAATGACTGCTTTATTTGAGTCACTAGAAGAAAAACGTTGACTCCAGCTAGAATTTTTCAAACATTCTTGAGATTTTTTAGGATGGTTTTGCCCCAGAAAAACTAAGATACATTTGAAATGTTGCATTACGTTTGGTAGCCTTCCTCCACGAATCTGAATTGGAAACCCACATCCGGTTGGCCCTGGTACGTTCATGGGTTCTGCATTCTCAGATTCAACCAAATGTGGATCAAAAATATTCAGGGGAAAAAAAAGTATGGTTGTGTCTATACTGAACATGCACAGACATTTTTTTTCTTGTCATTACTGTGTAACAATTGTGTACATAGCATTTACATTGCAGTAAGTATTGTAAGTAATTTAGAGATGATTTCAAATACATGGGCCAGGCATGGTGGCTCATACTTGTAATCTCACTACTTGTGAGGCTAAGGCAGGAGGATCACTTGAGCTCAAGAGTTCAAGGCTACATGCTTCTAGACTCCAGCCTGGGCAACAGAGTGAGACTCCATCTCTAAAAACATAAAAATAAAAAATAAAATGTATATGGAAATATTGCATAGGTCACAATACAAATGCTACACCATTTTATATAAGGGACTTGAGCATGTGTGGATATGGGGGGTGTCCTGGGACTAATTCCCAAAGGATACCTAGGGACAACAAACCAAGGACCCCAAATCAGGTGCTCTGTGAATGAGAGCTCTCCTCTGAGGTGAGGGAAGCGGGGAGAAGATGGAAATGGGGGAAGGCTTTGTGGGAGAGGTGGCAAATGAGCAGGAGCTAGAACAGAATTCAGATGTGGGTTTGGGGAAGAAAGGAGGAAGACACGGGTCAGAAAGAGAAGTCTATGGTCATACCACCAGGAATGCGCCCGATCTTGGCCAATCTCAGAAGCTAAGCAGGGTTGGGCCTGGTTAGTATTTGGATGGGAGAAAGAAAAAGAGAAGAGAGGAGTGGGGCAGGGAGCATTTCAGCTGGCTTTAAAGTGGCCGGACACAGCAGCTTATGCCTATAATCCCAGCACTCTGGGAGGCCAAGGAGGGTGGATCACAAGGTCAGGAGATCGAAACCATCCTGGCCAACATGGTGAAACCCTGTCTCTACTAAAAATACAAAAATTAGCTGGGTGTGGTGGCGTGCACCTGTAATCCCAGCTACTCAGGAGACTGAGGCACAAAAATCGCTTGAACCTGGGAGGCAGAGGTTGCAGTCAGCCGAGATCATCACACCACTGTACTTTAGCCGGGTGACAGAGATTCTGTTTCCAAAAAAAAGGATGAAGTAGAGGGATCAGGGAATAAGACATTCCAAAAAAGACTATGCAGGAATTTTTTTAAGCACATAAGAGAAGAAAGTTGTGGCCTGAGTGTGTAAATGTCAAATCACTTAGTTTGGCTAGAAGTTAGGGTAAAGCAAAGAGGGAAGAAAAGAGATCGGAAGGGTTGGCTGTGGTTAAATCATAGTAAGAAAAACCATGATTCAGAAACAGGGTGATGATCCAACCCAGTGTCTGCCTGTTACCCAGCGGCACTTCCTGTGTCCCACTCTGGACACCGTATTTAGAAGCAGCCCTTGATAGAGGGTTTATAACACAGAGGTACCAAAAGTAGAAGATGGTGTAAAACAAGAGGTACATGTCACATGTTTCTGTCTTGGTTGATCAACATTTAGTGTAAGTTAACTACCCTTTATTAAGTGCCTGCCCTGTTCTAGGCATTACAGTGGGCAGCCCTGAAAGTAAGCTAATACCAACATTTAACTAATTCAACAAATGTTAACTTGTCAGATACTGTGTAGTAGGCCATGGGCAGAGTGCTAAAAAGATATCAAGAGATGTTTCA